TGCCACTGGGCGCTCTGGCTGCTGCTCAAAGTAGGATACGGTACGTGTTCTCACCATCTGCGAGAGATTAAGAGTAGATGAGTTCTATTAGCAACGAGAGAACAAAATTGCACGTCACAGAAGAATAGAAGTGAAATTTGTTCCTAAACTTCATAGCGACTGGAAGATAAGTACAGACGTCTCCATACCGATCCTCCAGACTCTACTAAGCCTTCTCATGAATTGTGAGACCTAGGAAACCTAGTGCTCTGATACCAACTTATCACGACGAGGAATTCCCACCGTCGGGACCGTGATGGCGCCTAACATTACACTTGCTAGGCAAGCCAACGTTAGAGAATCATTAAGCCAATTCTTATACATTTCAGTAATTAACAACAAATAAGCTATAACGAGTTAAAGTGAATACAAAAATTTATAACAGCTTCAATATATGTACTACTAGCCGGATCTAGGGTCACAATTTACAAACATTCTAGGATTAACTACAAGTAAAAGTCCGAAAGAAATACAACTGTTTGAACGAAAAAAATAATAAACCAAAGGAAATAGACGGGGACTTCAAGGTATGTGAACGCCGACAGATCTACCTTGAGTTTTCGGTGGTTCGGTCCGAGCTGCTATGCCTCTCAATCAACTGGGACCAATACCAAAATCTACACAAAAAGTGCAGAGTACAGTATCAGTACAACCGACCCCATGTACTCGTTAGTGACGAGCCTAACCTCGGCGAAGTAGTGACGAGGCTAAGACAAGACACCCACAAATAAACCTGTGCAATTTAACAGTATATGTACAAAGATAACGGCAAGTAAAAGCTAGAAAAGAAATTTCAGTAGGGGGGACATGCTGAGGGGATCACAAGATAAAGAATCACAGCAGTAATAAGAACTTAATCAACCAATATACCTTGAACAGATAGGAACAAGTAAACACAGTAAAGGAAAATGCACAATCACCCGTCGTGCTTTTACTCTCGTCCTCACCATATGATTAAATAGAAATGGCACGGCATCACCCTTCGTGCATTAACTCTCTGATAACATGGCACGGCATCACCCTTCGTGCATTAACACTCACAATATGGCATGACATCACCCTTCGTGCATTACCAACCTCAACTTTTAATCAATACTCAATTAATTCCAAAGTCCGTAAACATTGTGAGCACGTGATTTTTGCCCTAAGCAAATTGTTCCAAAAGTTTCAAATAATTAATTTCTTTATTATTTTACAATTTTTGTGAATTTCTGTTAAATTTTTGTGTTAATTGGTTGCATTTTTATTCATATGAAAATACAAAAGTATGCATTTGCATTTAGGGATTTAATTTCCCAATTTTAGTATTAATTAGGTATTAATTAATTTTAGAACAAAATTTAAAGAAAATTGCAAAAAATAGTTTCTTTGCACTTTTAATTGTTAATTGTTGCATTTATCTTTAAATAGAGTTTTAAATAATTTTAGGAGTTAAATAGTTTAATTAGGTCTTCGTTTTGTTTTAGCGTTTTATAAAATCAGATAAATAAATAAATACAAAAATATAAAAATAAAATACAAAAGCAAAGTGAATAAAATACAAGAAAACAAAATCAAAAGAAAATTGAGTCCTTAATAAAAGATCCAAATTTGGGCTAAATTCACCCCAGCCCAAATCAAAGCCCCGAAATCCGTCAAAACCACCCCTGTTCCCAGCCCAAACCCGCATCCTAACCCGGTCCAACTCCCTTTGTAACAAATCGACGTCGTTTTGTTAAAATTAATCCTGGCCGTCGAGGATCTTTGATCCAACGGCTAGGAAGTGGTTTAATTTTAATATATTAATGTCCGAACACCTTCCCCCCCTCCTTTCGTCTCTTCAGAACCCTAAAGAACCCCTCCCCGTCTCCGCCGCCCTCCGCCCTAGCACCGCCGGCCGGAAATCGCCTCCGCCGGCGGCGAAGCTCCAATCACGCCCAAAATCTCACCATATCATCTCTTTCATCTCCTCACCCCATATCCTCTGTTATTTTCTTTCAAATCCCAACCAAACGTCCCAAATCCTCCAAACCCTAGGCGCCGCCACCACTGCCCACGGCGGCGTCGCCGCCC